AATACCAACTGAATGTCGGTTAAAACGGATCTGTCTTATATTATTTTAAAACTTTAGCGTGATAAGTATATTTAATTCAAATATTCATATGCATCATCCGCTTCTGGATTCGGACCTCGTACTTTCTGGATGTTTGTAGAATACACGTTCTACTTCACATCAAGTCTTTTCCGTTTTCTATTCGATGAGGGTTTGCGACACTCGGATAAGAGTAGCCTGTCGTGTCGCTGAATCATCGATCCTCACTCTCGATTACTGACTAAGGTAAACTCGTAATAGTTCAAGCATATAAAATGACGTGTTGACGTGCATGTGTAACAAAATCCTTCTGGGTTGACTGAGAAATTATTTAGTAATCTCATAATTATACAAAACATTAAGAATTAAATGTAATCAATAACAACTCATTACTGATCATCGATAAGTTTCTTGATATTTAAGCTTTCAACAAAGTGATCATGTCATCAGTGTACTCTTTAATGACTAGCTTCGTAAGGAAATTCTCGGACTCCTAGTGAGAAGACGTGACCAATGGAGTTCCACCCAGTCGGATGTAGGCAGTAACTACTGAAGACAGTGGGTGAGGTTGCGCAAAATCCCTAGATTGATTAGAGTTATACATTAACACCGTTGGATCCCAGCCCAGAGGCTAGGTGTTCACGCGCAAAACCGAAGGTACTGGTTTCGATTCCTGCGAGTGACTGTAGTCGTGGATGCGCAGTGCTAATAAGTCCCATACCAGGTTGAGATAACCGTCCAGTGCTTCCAGCTTTCTAATGATAGTCTATCAATGATTTGTTCACGATTTCAAGCTAAGATATTAAGTAAGCAAACAATTCAAACAATTACTTTACAAAACAAATTTATTTCGAAATAACATTATTGATTATATGATAAAATATATATATATATATATATTGTTGAAAATAAATATGCTGCTGTACAGTTCAACATTTTAATAATTATCAGAGGAAAATTCGAAGAAATAACGTTGTTTTCTTTTTTAAAATAAATATAACTGTTGCATAACTATGCATACAATAGTGCATGTTATTGATTTTTGTTGTAAACAAAAAAAATAGTATAAGTCAAATAGAATAAAATACAGGTCGAAAAAATCAAAGTGACTGTGTGTATTGGAATGATAATTTAAAGTACGATATTTTTTTTAAAATTACAATGAAATATACATATTACAATATTAAGTGGCATTAAATTGCCTCAAACTTTCAAATGAATGATTGTTTTTTTTGCTTTGATTTGATTGAAATTAAAAGAAAAAATTGTCCCGTCACTTTTGAAATCTTTCTTTTATTTAACTTACTTGTCAAAACAGATTAAGAACTCATTGTTTTGTCAACGCAATCCATTATAGGAATAATGACACACACACACAGAGAGCAAATTAAGTGTTTATTGAAAAAAGGTAAATGCATTTTATGCAATGTATAAATGTTGTTAAACCATGTAAGTAATACTGATAGCAAATATCAATTCATTGCTGCTTATTAGGTTCTTTCAAGAAAACAAATTTTATTTGGTATTTGATGTGGTTGAATTTCCACACTATCACCATTGCCTGAATCACAGTCTGTTGGTACAACGATATTCGATGTGAAATCAGTTATTGGTAGTTTTGGCCAATTATCTGTTGTAGCCATTAGAATGTGGGGCTAAACAGTGATTCAATACAAAAATGAGTAAACTTTAATGTATAGTGGTAATAGATAATAAATGAATTTCATATAGGTTATTGCAACTTACATAAATTTGAGTTTGTGTACGTTTATTTATTTACTTACTTAACGGATATAAACACCGTTAGCTACCGGCTCAGTGGTCCGATGTTTAGGTGTGCGCCTACAATACCGAAGGTTCTGGGTTCGAATCCTGCGAGGTGCAGGAGTCTTGGATGCGCTCTGCTGAGGAGTCCCATACGAGGACAAAAACGGCCGTCTTTCAGTGCTTTAGGTTGCTAATGGTGGTCTAGAACTGATCGATTCATGGTTTCAAAAATGTGTTATTTGTACAGCAACGATAACTTATCCATGCCGTTTGTATGAGCATTTAGACTTGAATATTGCTTATCGCTTTCTAAATCGCTTTAATGTTATTAGCTTATATAATTCCATGAATCATCCATTTCCCATTTGCTTAAACGTAAAGTTTAATACTATCTGCTCGTTCACTTGCTTCTTCAGTACTTGCACATCTTCTTCGTTTGCGTTTCGTATGCGTGTGGTTTTGTGGTTAGTGTGGTGTGATAATGAAAGTCATCAACACTTCGTGTTAGCATTCTGGGAGATATCCAGGTACGGCTATCAGGTTGAGCCGTATACGAAGTTTAAGAAATAATTTGAATCTCAACAGTCACAAGTTACTTCACAAACCACTAAGCAAATAATAAGAGTAAACCATAAATGGGTGACTACGATGACCAAGTATAGACAAGTTTTATTAGTACACGGGTTTGTGAAACCGTTGAAATTTATAGTTTACAGTACAAACTGATTCATGTTTGACATAATTACACTTTCGCTATAAAATCTTGACTTATCATCAAATAAGCTTGAAGGTTTATTAGGTTAGAAAACACAAATAGGTTAGATTTTCATTTAGTCATCTAAATATCTGAAGTAGCCGTCATGTGTACACAATTTGACTTTTAAAAAAAATTAGTCTCCACAGTAAACTCAAGTGCATCCACTTCATAACTAACCTAGTAATTAGAAATTTATGTACTTTGGAGTATGGTATACTGAACTTGTCTGTGCATTACCGTATTTTCTTTTACTAAAAAGATAAAATACTGCATTCAAGAATCCAAAGAAGAGTGAATCATTCTTTTCTTTGCTGACTAATGTTACGAACATGTTCTCCTAAAGGAAATAAGTAAACATTTTAAATACTTTATGGTTATACTGCATTCCCTACTTGATAAAGCCAAAGGAAAAGAGGAAGACCAAAGTACAAATTAAGCCGAGAATAGGAAATAGATATGGAAAGAATGAATAACAAATGAATAGGATTGGATAAGAAGGCCTAAGACAGAGCAGGTTGGAGAATGGTGGTATGTGGTCTATGCTGCACTGGGAGTGACAGGTGCAACCAAACGCTTCTGACTAACTAAATAATTAAATATAATCTGAGTTTTTCATGAAAAAAAGAATAAATTACTTTCACTGTTAGTAAAGGTGAGCTAAAGTGCTTACGACTTTTTATTTTCAATGGTTTCTAGGATCTTATTGGTGGTCTAAAAATGATTGATTCAACACTTCAGGAATAAATAACAATCTCCATAACTCTATAATGAAAAATCGTGCAGTATGCTCACTAGTGGAATAGCCGTGAGGATATTCTCAAACTTCTGTTGAGAAGTTGTGGACTGTTGGAGTTCAACCCTGTCGGCTGTATGCAGTAACTACCGAAGACAATGGATGAGGTTTCGCAAAATCCTTAGGTTAATCAGATTTACACATTAACCCCGTCGGATGTCGGCTTACAGTCTAGGTGCAGGCTGGTACAGAGGCTAGGAGTTCACGCACAAAAACCGAAAGTCCTTGTTTCGATTCCTGCGAGTAGCAAAATGTCATGGATACGCCCTGATTATAAGTCTCGTATGAGGACGAGGCGGCCGCCTATTACTTTGTTTGGGACGTTAGATCCCCGGAACTCAATTGGGAAAGGTAATTCATCTGAGAATTTTAAAATCCTATGTTTCCGTGGCAAAGACGCTCATTTTAACCTTCAGCTTGCACTTCCCACTCGGGAACTCCTTGACTGTCATCGGTTGATGGATTGTTTGAGTACGTTATATTGTAGCTTTCATCAAGGGCATTTTATTTTATCATTCTATAAACAAGCTTGAATTAAGTGCTTGTCTGCCTTGTATTTTCTGGGCGCCTGTGATATACATTCTCTCTTCGTCTTATCAAGACTTCTTTCTCTAATTAGCGGGGCCTGGAACTATCGGATTGGAATAGCCTATCGTGTCACTGCATCGTTCTGTTTAACGAGTAAGGTAAACTCGTAATAGTTTCGAGCATATCATTCTCTTAGATTTCTAATGATGGTCTAACACCGATTGATTTCTCTGCTGTTTTTCATATAAATGTTTTCAAGTGTTTGAAATCAATTAACAATATTTCCTGGACCTAAATTTCGTGCCAGTTAATAAAAGAATACACATAAAACTGAAACAAATCAATCTGTCTTATTTAAAATATTACAAGGAGAAAAGAAATTTTAATTCTAATTAGTCTCATATCAACCAACCACTAACGTTCAATATTATTTTATTTAAAACTAATAACATCGATTGTGTATTCTATCAATCAACTTGCTTGTAATGTATAAAATTACTCAAAAAAGTCATTCAACAATGGTAATACATCCTGAACAATTGAATTTAAGTCAATATAGTCTATTATTTTGCTTAGTATTCACAATCTTAATTCGTTTACCACACAAAAACCATATTTCGCCATATACATTTCAATTTCTTTTTTGACATATATATATATATATCATTTCGAATGTTATCAATCTATTTAACAATTGATAAAGTATCATTTCAAGTTTTTCTTTCTTTTAAAAAATAAGAAACAACTAGATTGACTGACATTTGAAGGTTCATATGTATGTATGTATAAGTAAGTACGTAAATTCTAATGTAGACTGATTAGTTTTGTTTTTTTTCTGGAAGACAAGAATTTAACACGTTCATTCTTAAATCATTAAATTGGATAGAGAAAAAAATGTACGAATGAAATCGAGTAAAGTTGATTGGAAAAAAAATGCATACATTTGCATTACGTTACGTGAATTGATCAAGTTAGACATTAACACCGTTAGATACCGGCTAAGTGGTCCGATGGTTAGGCATTCGCGCACTATACCAGAGGTCCCGGGTTCGAATCCTACGAGGTGCAGGAGTCGTGGATGCGCACTGATGAGGTGTCTCAATCCAGGACAAAACGGCCGTACAGTGCCTCCAGGTTTCTATTGATGGACTAACATTGATCGATTCATGGTTTCAAAAAAGCATACATTGCATTTTTCTATTTACAAAATTATATAAAAATGTTATATTTAAGTGTGTAGAGTGCATAGATTTGTGTCTAAGCCCACAGGGTATGTCATAGGCATCAGAGAAAATTTTAAAACAGTTAGTCCTTTTTTACTCAATTGTGACCGAGAATTATGAGAAGACGTAATTGATCTGAAAAAATGTGATTGTATTTGCGGTATACATTTTGGAATAATAGTGTCAAACATGCAGGCCTTGGCTATTCGAAAATTAAAACCCACCTTATGTGATTTATTTCATCGCGTACTCAAACATCATAAATAAAGGAGTCATCGCAGGTCATTGAAATGCTAAACCCAACGACGAATATAACATAGCCTACTTGAAACAATTGTAAATTAAATTAACTCTCTGGTTTTTAGATAAAATAAATTTTGCACATTTTTAGGTGTCTACATAGTTTATCCTCTAACATCTCTGACAGGCGAATGGAAAGGAGCTCAGTAAAAAATAACTTCTATAAGGTTTATGTTATAGATACGTTTATACGTTTACCCTTGTTTTTGATAGCTATTCGTATCTGTCAGTCAATAATTTATATTACACTTGAAACTAAACAGTTAAGAGTTGGTATGTTTGATGAAGTTCATGTACGTTCACTGTACGTTTAAGACTGAATATTTTGTCAGATTTAGTGATTAATTATTTCAGCATGATATTCTATAATTATTCTAGTAATTTCTGTTATGAAAACAATCAGTGTTAATGCTTCTAGACTGTAACTTCTGAATTCATGTGAAAATTCTAGTTAAAAAGATATCTATATGAAAATAATAACAAATACCATTATAATAGTCATTGTAACAGTGACATGACAGTGAATCGTACTAATCAACCTAGGAATGAATTTTCTCGCAAAACTCACATGTTTTGATATATTCGTTACGTCACCACACGTTTCAGGTATACTAAAAGGTATCGGATACTGACCATTCAAGAATGTTTGATAGCCATCAGGACAAGTTGGTACATTTTTTGTATTTGAATTGTGATCATTTGTAAATCCGTGATATAAATTATTCATATTTGTACATGGTAAATTATTTGTCATCATGTTACATGATGAAGAGCTGAGATTTAAACTAGTTCCATTGGTTTGCATGTTTACAATACCACAATTATTATTATTACTATTATGATTATGATTATTATTATCATGATTATTAATGGCAGAGGTAGTGAACCAATAATTACCGGGAATTTTATTGTTTGAACTTGGATTGTAATTAAAATCGGTCTCAATAGGTAGCAAAAATAAACTTCTATTCGGATGATTAATTAATTCCAAATTTGTATTTCCATTTTCGTAGGTGGGTAATTGTTGCGAACAATTAGGAAATGAATGAACTGTGAAAATGAAAGAATAAGAATAAGTATAAAATGTCTTTAAATGTAAAATTTAAGAAAATAAATAAATAAATATTATTTATTTAAATCACAATCCGACCTCTATGTTAAAAAAAAAAAAACTCGAAAGAAACACTCACTGAACAACTGTTTCGTTCTCAGTCAATCAGTCAGTCAGTCAGTCAATTACAACGTAAAACTTCGTACTTATGTACATCAGTTCATGTCGCCATACCACGTTAACACAGAGACGCAATCGTTAGTTCAAATCCCTTAATGGTAGAGATAGTAGATATATTAGCAGTAATGGAGAGGATTAAGGTTCCAAGATATTCAAGAAGTATAATTCAGTGAAATAACTTTAGAGAGCGAAAAATAGAGGTGATGAGAAATGTTTGAAGATTAGAATCTCAGAGACCACAAAGAGTGGATGCACCTGTGCCACTACAAACGATTTTGAGTCATGTCATTCAAGGTCCATAACCATCTGTCACTATCGTCTCGTTGACCCCAAACGGTTAGTCGACATCTAGTACGAGATTCCTCAAAAGTACATATCCACAATCTCTCTGCAATTTGATACTCTTACCGGTTCAGTGATTTAAATTTCAAATTCTCGTGGTAAGATGCGAAAGCTCTTCTTCAACTTCCAGGGAGTACGTGAATACACGCAATTCTGTTTAGTGCTTCCCGCTCTTTACAAACTCCTATACTGATAAATTTTATTTAATTGAGTGAGGACAAAATTTTTATTCACTTTTCATAATGAGTTTCTTTATACATCGAGAAATTTTGTGGAAACTTTGAAAATAAAGGAATGACAATGGCTCGTTCTTAAGTATAATTAATACAACGACGTAAATATAACACAAGCATTAACTGAAACCCAAACAATTACGTTCAAATGTATTTTCGAACCATGTTAAAAATTATTTCTGCCCTCAACTGGACTATCAGCTCACATGATACAAGATTTGTCTTAGTGTATGTAAGTGTTTTTGTATCCCATGGGAATCCAATGAATAATTTACGCTAAATATCATGATTTCGGTAATACCAGTCATTGTGCACAATAATTGTATTTCTTCTTTTAAAAATTTCAAGATATCAACTACAGCGATGTGAAGTATGTACGTCAAGTAATATTCATATTTTAATAAATCACTCAGTTATATGTTTTCGAGTATCGACGCTTATATGCAATGATATCGGTAACAATTTTAGTCAAACGCTGCTGATAATAGGAGCAACAAGCTTTTAAAAGGACAATGACCTTTCATTCTAAACAAATTTTTGTCATGAAATGATGATAGAAAGTTTCGTTCCTAGCAAACTGTTCAATGTTTGGCTAAGTCTTCATTTGATGGTATTCCAGCACCAAAAAATGCACCTCTCAGAACATTTTCTCCTCCTCGCTGTTTGACAAATTTTATCCATCTAGAAACAGTCTCTACAATGGATGATTGAAACTGGGTGTTTTGTTGGTCAATGTGTAAGGGGGACAATCTACACTGGAAATACAACTTCACAGCACAAAAAATTAACTTTCTTAGACAATCGGTCACTTTTCTGCTGAAGATAATTTACATTAATTCAATATCGAGAATTTATCTTTAAATAAAAGTCATACTGAAATAAACCAATGATATACTCAGTAAAATCTAGCACAGAAAATAAAACAAAATATTACACTATATAGTCATCATTTTGATTTAAAAATGGAATTATTATTGAGCGAAAATCATGATGGGTCGAAAGCGTGTTTTTTTCCGTTTGTTCTGTTAAACTACATGGGAATGACGTTTCCATAGAGGGTTAATTTGCATGATTGTCATACCCGAAATTTGATGTTGTCTGATGGTCACTTGATCCTGTTTCCAGTTTCAGTTGGGGTTTTGTTTTGTTAGATTGATATTCCGTTACTAAATTTCCAGGAAATGTTTAATAATTCTTGAGTAGTCATAGGGTTTCTACAATCTCACCTTTTACATGAATCGACAATTATATCTCTGTGCTTATAAGGTATGGCAACATGAACTGATGTACTTACGTACAAAGTTCTACGTAGCATCTGACTGACTGACATGATTATTGTATCTTGTACATATGAGTTCTCCCTATGACGGTGGATATTCGATATAATTCTCAAACTTTGTATGCTGTTCGTTCTGATAACCTTAACTAGTCACGCCCAGCGGTGCATAAAATTCAGAAGACGTGACGTTTATTATTAATTTAATTTAATTTAATTACCTTCTTTGTGAAGAAGAAGGTGTGATAATCACTCTAATGCCATAATTTAATGTGTTCTATTCTATAGTGATTTTTAACTTACGGTTATACTAGACTAATAGTAAAATTTTTTTTTTTATTTGACATTTCACTCATCATCGCCATCCAACAATGAATTATTTTAATGGGTGTTCCAAACGATGTTCTGATGGGACAAAACAGAAACTGACCATACCCAGCAATAATATCCCTAAACCCTATCAGGCTCAGCTCCTTGCCTTTTTTTTAATCACGAACCCAAGATACTTGATAGATTATGTAAATGATATACTCTCATCTATACAAAAGTGAAACCCGGACAAGAAACTAATGAGTCTAAAGAGCGATTCCTCCTGAATATCTTCAGCAACAATGATATAAGCTGGTATTTCACCTGTTACAATATTCATAATTTATTAAAAGGATGCTGGAGCTGTCCTTACATTGAAGGATAATCGCTGATACTTATGCAACCCTTTGTGAGTATTGATAGTCAAGAAATGTATCCGCGTCAACCTGAAGGTACGGTTCTAATAAGTTAGTTTTTGATAAAAAATTTTCCACCATTAATTTTCGTGAAGATATCTTCGGGTACAGAATGCTGATGTGAATGATCTTACAATGTATTATTCAAACCTGTCGAGAAGTCACTATAATAAACATGAGGATCCATTGGGTCAGTCAGTCAGTCAGTTGCAACGTAGAACTTCGTACGTAAGTACATTAGTTCATGTCGCCATACCACATCAGCACAGAGATATAATTGTCAATTCAAATCCAATAGTAGAAGAGGTAGTAAAGGTATTAGAAGTAATCGTAGACGTAGTATTAGAAGATATTATTCAAGAAGTATGCTTCAATGAGATAAGTTTAGAAAGTAAAAGCTAGAGGTGTTGAAGAACTCAGAAGATTAGGATTTGAGAGAACACAAAGAATAAATGCACTGCGCCATTGCGAACGATTTTGAGCCATGTCATTCAAGGTCTCTAACCATCGATTATTATCATCTCCGCGGACCCCCAACAGGTAGTCGACAATTACCGACATGTCTCATTCCACTCGTCAATGACTTCATGGATTTATGCCGTGTTTTGGTTCGGCCCCCCTAGCTTTCTTCCAACCTACTTCTACACCACAAAACAAAGCTCGACGAGGCAGTCGGTGGTTAGGCATCCGTAACACGTGTCCGAACCACCTCAACTGATGAAGTTTCATTACTTCATCGATTGATCTGCCATTCTTACCTAGTACCCGTTTCCTAATAATAGAATAAGCGATTGCACCATCAACTCCAGGCAACGCGAATTGTTCACACACACGATTCATACGGAGCACATGCTTCACTGAAGAACACCTCCATGAATCGAAGATGCGAACACCAATCAACCGTTTCAGCGGGGGGATGGTTATCCTTTAGTAAACTCCTCTCAATTAGATGTGCGACATGTTCGGTTCACATGACCGATACAAGTTAGGCAGACAGATAGCGAACCACTGGCGCAGCTGAGGACTAGCAACCTCTTGTCCCTTTACTGTCAGCACAACTGAGACAACGAGACAGAGTGCACGTGAAACTAGCACGCGTAGCACAACCATGCAACGTCAGTGCGGTCCGGCGCGCAGTACTGCGCGCCGGACCGCACTGACGTTGCATGGTAGTCGACGAGCAGCAAGATTCACGTGCACTGAGACTCGTTGTGAGAGTTGTGCAGACAGTAAAGGGACAAGAGGTTGCTAGTCCTCAACTGCGCAGTGGTTCGCTCTGTCTTACTTTATGGCTGTGAAACATGGCCAATGAGAGTAGAAGATACTCGACGGTTATTGGTTTTCGATCATAGGTGTCTTCGAAGCATTGCTCGTATATCGTGGGACACCCGAGTTAGCAACGCTATTATTAGGAAACGGGTACTAGGTAAGAATGGCAGATCAATCGATGAAGTAATGAAACTTCATCAGTTGAGGTGGTTGGGACACGTGTTGCGTATGCCTAACCACCGACTGCCTCGTCGAGCTTTGTTTTGTGGTGTAGGAATAGGTTGGAAGAAAGCTAGGGGCGGTCAAACCAAAACATGGCATAAATCCATGAAGTCATTGACTAGTGGACTTAGCCATGTCGGTAATTGTCGACTACCTGGTTGGGGTCCGCGAGATGATAATAATCGATGGCTAGAGACCTTGAATGACATGGCTCAAAATCGTTCGCAATGGCGCCGGTGCATTTATTCTTTGTGTTCTCTCAAATCCTAATCTTCTGAGTTCTTCAACACCTCTAGCTTTTACTTTCTAAACTTATCTCATTGAATCACACTTCGTGAATAATATCTTCTAATTCTAACGTCTACGATTACTTCTAATACCTTTACTACCTCTTCTACTATTGGATTTGAATTGACAATTATATCTCTGTGCTGATGTGGTATGGCGACATGAACTGATGTACTTACGTACGAAGTTCTACGTTGCAACTGACTGACTGACTGACCAATGGATCCTCATGTTTATTATAGTGACTTCTCGACAGGTTTGAATAATACATTGAAAGATCATTCACATCAGCTTTCTGTACCCGAAGATATCTTCACGAAAATTAATGGTGGAAAATTTTTTATCAAAAACTAACTTATTAGAACCGTATCTTCAGGTTGACGTGGATACATTTCTTGACTATCAATACTCACAAAGGGTTGCATAAGTATCAGCGATTATCCTTCAATGTAAGGACAGCTCCAGCATCCTTTTAATAAATTATGAATATTGTAACAGGTGAAATACCAGCTTATATCATTGTTGCTGAAGATATTCAGGAGGAATCGCTCTTTAGACTCATTAGTTTCTTGTCCGGGTTTCACTTTTGTATAGATGAGAGTATATCATTTACATAATCTATCAAGTATCTTGGGTTCGTGATTAAAAAAAGGCAAGGAGCTGAGCCTGATAGGGTTTAGGAATATTATTGGTGGGTATGGTCAGTTTCTGTTTTGTCCCATCAGAACATCGTTTGGAACACCCATTAAAATAATTCATTGTTGGATGGCGATGATGAGTGAAATGTCAAATAATGTCGTCCATTTTACTATTAGTCTAGTATAACCGTAAGTTAAAAATCACTATAGAATAGAACACATTAAATTATGGCATTAGAGTGATTATCACACCTTCTTCTTCACAAAGAAGGTAATTAAATTAAATTAATAATAAACGTCACGTCTTCTGAATTTTATACACCGCTGGGCGTGACTAGTTAAGGTTATCAGAACGAACAGCATACAAAGTTTGGGAATTATATCGAATATCCACCGTCATAGGGAGAACTCATATGTACAAGATACAATAATCATGTCAGTCAGTCAGATGCTACGTAGAACTTTGTACGTAAGTACATCAGTTCATGTTGCCATACCTTATAAGCACAGAGATATAATTGTCGATTCATGTAAAAGGTGAGATTGTAGAAACCCTATGACTACTCAAGAATTATTAAACATTTCCTGGAAATTTAGTAACGGAATATCAATCTAACAAAACAAAACCCCAACTGAAACTGGAAACAGGATCAAGTGACCATCAGACAACATCAAATTTCGGGTATGACAATCATGCAAATTAACCCTCTATGGAAACGTCATTCCCATGTAGTTTAACAGAACAAACAGGAAAAGCCACGCTTTCGACCCATTATGATTTTCGCTCAATAATAATTCCATTTTTAAATCAAAATGATGACTATATAGTGTAATATTTTGTTTTATTTTCTGTGCTAGATTTTACTGAGTATATCATTGGTTTATTTCAGTATGACTTTTATTTAAAGATAAATTCTCGATATTGAATTAATGTAAATTATCTTCAGCAGAAAAGTGACCGATTGTCTAAGAAAGTTAATTTTTTGTGCTGTGAAGTTGTATTTCCAGTGTAGATTGTCCCCCTTACACATTGACCAACAAAACACCCAGTTTCAATCATCCATTGTAGAGACTGTTTCTAGATGGATAAAATTTGTCAAACAGCGAGGAGGAGAAAATGTTCTGAGAGGTGCATTTTTTGGTGCTGGATTACCATCTAATGAAGACTTAGCCAAACATTGAACAGTTTGCTAGGAATGAAACTTTCTATCATCATTTCATGACAAAAATTTGTTTAGAATGAAGGGTCATTGTCCTTTTAAAAGCTTGTTGCTCCTATTATCAGCAGCGTTTGACTAAAATTGTTACCGATATCATTGCATATAAGCGTCGATACTCGAAAACATATAACTGAGTGATTTATTAAAATATGAATATTACTTGACGTACATACTTCACATCGCTGTAGTTGATATCTTGAAATTTTTAAAAGAAGAAATACAATTATTGCGCACAATGACTGGTATTACCGAAATCATGATATTTAGCGAAAATTATTCATTGGATTCCCATGGGATACAAAAACACTTACATACACTAAGACAAATCTTGTATCATGTGAGCTGATAGTCCAGTTGAGGGCAGAAATAATTTTTAACATGGTTCGAAAATACATTTGAACGTAATCGTTTGGGTTTCAGTTAATGCTTGTGTTATATTTACGTCGTTGTATTAATTATACTTAAGAACGAGCCATTGTCATTCCTTTATTTTCAAAGTTTCCACAAAATTTCTCGATGTATAAAGAAACTCATTATGAAAAGTGAATAAAAATTTTGTCCTCACTCAATTAAATAAAATTTATCAGTATAGGAGTTTGTAAAGAGCGGGAAGCACTAAACAGAATTGCGTGTATTCACGTACTCCCTGGAAGTTGAAGAAGAGCTTTCGCATCTTACCACGAGAATTTGAAATTTAAATCACTGAACCGGTAAGAGTATCAAATTGCAGAGAGATTGTGGATATGTACTTTTGAGGAATCTCGTACTAGATGTCGACTAACCGTTTGGGGTCAACGAGACGATAGTGACAGATGGTTATGGACCTTGAATGACATGACTCAAAATCGTTTGTAGTGGCACAGGTGCATCCACTCTTTGTGATCTCTGAAATTCTAATCTTCAAACATTTCTCATCACCTCTATTTTTCGCTCTCTAAAGTTATTTCACTAAATTATACTTCTTGAATATCTTGGAACCATAATCATCTCCATTACTGCTAATATATCTACTATCTCTACCATTAAGGGATTTGAACTAACGATTGCGTCTCTGTGTTAACGTGGTATGGCGACAGGAACTGATGTACATAAGTACGAAGTTTTACGTTGTAATTGACTGACTGACTGACTGATTGACTGAGAACGAAACAGTTGTTCAGTGAGTGTTTCTTTCGAGTTTTTTTTTTAACATAGAGGTCGGATTGTGATTTAAATAAATAATTATTTATTTATTTACTTTCTTAAATTATATATACATTTAAAGACATTTTATTATTATTATTCTTTCGTTTTCACAGTTCATTCATTTCCTAATTGTTCTCAACAATTACCTACTTATGAAAATGGAAATACAAATTTGGAATTAATTAATCATCCGAATAGAAGTTTATTTTTGTTACCTATTGAGACGGATTTTAATTACAATCCAAGTTCATGCAATAAAATTCCCGGTAATTATTGGTTCACTACCTCCGCCGTCAATAATCATGATAATAATAATCATAATCATAATAGTAATAATAATAATAATTGTGGTATTGTAAACATGCAAACTAATGGAACTAGTTTAAATCTCAGTTCTTCATCATGTAACATGATGACAAATAATTTACCATGTACAAATATGAATAATTTATATCACGGATTTACAAATGATCACAATTCAAATATAAAAAATGTATCAACTTGTCCGGATGGCTATCAAACATTCTTGAATGGTCAGTATACGATACCTTTTAGTATACCTGAAACGTGTGGTGACGCAACGAATATATCAAAACATGTGAGTTCTGCGAGAAAATTCATTCCTAGGTTGATTAGTACAATTCACTGTCATGTCACTGTTACAATGACTATTATAATGGTATTTGTTATTATTTTCATATAGATATCTTTTTAACTGGAATTTTCACATGAATTCAGAATTAACAGTCCAGAAGCATTAACACTGATTGTATTCATAACAGAAATTACTAGAATAATTATAGAATATCATGCTGAAATATTTAATCACTAAATCTGACAAAATATTCAATCTTAAACGTTTAGTGAACAGTTATCACATGAAATTCATCAAACATACCAACTCTTAACTGCTTAGTTTCAAGTGTAATATAAATTATTGACTGACAGATACGAACAGCTATCAAAATACAAGGGTAAACGTTTAAACCTATCTACAACATTAACCTTATATAAGTTATTTTTTACTCAGCTCCTATCAATTCGCCTGTCAGAGATGTTAGAGAATAAACTATGTAGACACCTAAAAATGCACAAAATTTATTTTATCTGAAAACAAGCGAGTTAATTTAATTTACGATTGTCTCAAGTAGGCTATGTTATGTTCGTCGTTGGGTTTAGCATTTTAATGGCCTGCGATGACTCCTTTATTTATGATGTTCGAGTACGCGATGGAATAAATCACATAAGGTGGGTTTTAATTTTCGAATAGCCAAGGCCTTCATGTTTGACACTATTATTCAAAATGTATACCGCAAATACATCACATTTTTCAGATCAATTACGTCTTCTCATAATTCTATCAAAATTGATAAAAAGGACTAACTGTTTTAAATTTCTCTGATGCCTATGACAGACCCTGTGGGCTTGACACAAATCTATGCACTCTACACACTTAAATATACACATTTTATATAATTTTGTAAATAGAAAATGCAAATGTATGCCTTTTTTGAAACCATGAATCGATCAATGTTAGTCCATCAATAGAAACCTGGAGGCACTGTACGGCCGTTTTGTCCTGGATTGAGACACCTCATCAGTGCGCATCCACGACTCCTGCACCTCGCAGGATTCGAACCCGGGACCTCTGGTATTGTGCGCGAACGCTTAACCATCGGACCACTTAGCCGGTATCTAACGGTGTTAATGTCTAACTTGATCAATTCACGTAATGCAAATGTATGCATTTTTTTTCCAAACAACTTTACTCGATTTCATTCGTAGATTTTTTTTCTCTATCCAATTTAATGATTTAAGAATGAACGTGCTAAATTCTTGTCTTCCAGAAAAAAAACAAAACTAATCAGTCTACATTAGAATTTACTTACTTACTTACTTATACATATACATATGAACCTTCAAATGTCAGTCAATCTAGTTGTTTCTTATTTTTTAAAAGAAAGAAAAACTTGAAACGATACTTTATCAATTGTTAAATAGATTGATAACATTCGAAATGATATATATATATATATATATATATATATATATATATATATATATGTCAAAAAAGAAATTGAAATGTATATGGCGAAATATGGTTTTTGTGTAGTAAATGAATTAAGATTGTGAATACTAAGCAAAATAATAGACTATATTGACTCTAAATTCAATTGTTCAGGATGTATTACCATTGTCAAATGACTTTTTTGAGTAATTTTGTACATTACAAGTTGATTGATAGAATACACAATCAATGTTATTAGTTTTAAATAAAATAATATTGAACGTTAGTGGTTGGTTGATATGAGACTAATTAGAATTAAAATGTCTTTTCTCCTTGTAATATTTTAAATAAGACAGATTGATTTGTTTCAGTTTTATGTGTATTCTTTTATTAACTGGCACGAAATTTAGGTCCAGGAAATATTGTTAATTACTTTCAAACACTTGAAACATTTATATGAAAAACAGCAGAGAAATTACTAAACATTATTTCTGAAATCGTTGTTAGACCACCATTAGAAATCTGTTACGAGTTCACCTTATTCGGTAAACAGAACGAAGATCAACGATGCAGTGTCACGATAGGCTATTTTAATCAGATTGTCCCAGGCCACGCTAACTAAAGAAAAAGGTTTTGATAAGACGTAGAGAGAATGTGTTTCACAGGCAACCAGAAAATATGAGGTCGACAAGCACTCAATTCAAGCTTGTTTATAGAATGATAAAATGCCATTGATGAAAGCTACAATATAACGTACTCAAACAATCCATCAACCGATGACAGTCAAGGAGTTCCCGAGTGGGAAGTGCAAGCTGAAGGTTAAAATGAGCGTCTTTGCCGCGAAAACATAGGATTTTAAAATTTTCGAATAAAATTACGAAATTCGAACCTTCCCCAACTAAGTTCCGGGGATCTAACGTCCCCAACAAAGTAATAGGCGGCCGCCTCGTCCAGATACGAGACGCATAATCAGGGCGTATCCACGACATTTGCCACTCGTAGGAATCAAAACAAGGACTTTCGGTTTTGTGAGTGAAGTCCTAGCCTCTGTACCAGCCTGCACCTAACCTCTAAGCCGGCATCCAACTGTGTTAATGTCTAACTCTGATCAATCTAGGAATTTTGCGGAACCTCACCCATTGTCGTCGGTAATGTCTACTTACACCCGACAGGGTAGAACTCCATTGGTCATGTCTTCTCACCAAAACTCTGAGAATATCCTCACGAAGCCAGTCACTAGTGAGTACATTGTACGATTTTTCATTATAGAGTTATGGAGATTATTGTTTATTCCTGAAATGATTAATCATTAATTGTTAGACAACCAATAAGAACCTAGAAACCCTGCAAACAAAAATTCGTAAGCGCTTTAGCCCACCTTTACTAACACTGAGAGTGATTTATTCTTGTTTTCATGAAAAACTCAGATTATATTTAATCATTTAGTTAGTCAGAAGCGTTTGGTTGCACCTGTCACTCCCAGTGCAGCATAGACCACATACCACCACTCTCCAACCTGGTCTGTTTTAGGCCTTCTTTTCCTATTCTATCCATTTGCTGTTTATTCTTTACATGTCCGTCTCGGATTCTCGGCTTAATTTGTACTTTGGTCATCCTCTTTTCCTTTAGCCTTATCAAGTAGGAAATGAAGTATAACCACAAAGTATTTAAAATGTTTACTTGTTTGCTTTTGGAGAACATGTTCTTAACATTAGTCAGCAAAGAATGATTCACTTTTTCTTTGGTTGTGTTCTTGAGTATAGTATTTTATCTTTCTAGTAAAATAAAATACGGTAATACACAGACAAGTTCAGTATACCATACTCAAAAGTACATAAATTTCTAATAACTAGGTTACTTTTTGAAGTGGATACACTTGAGTTTACAGTGAAGACCAATTTTTTTAAAAAGTCAAATTGTGTACACATGACAGCTACTTCGGATATTTAAATGACTAAATGAAAATCTAACCTATTTGTGTTTTCTAACCGAATAAATTTCAAGCTTATTTGATGATAAGCCAAGATTTTATAGTGCATACTTTAAATTTCGAAGTATTTAGATAATAGATACAGTTGATTGCTAGTACTCTCAAGATTCCCGGTGAGAAAGAGAGAGAGAGTAATCATGTCAAACATGAGTCAGTTTGTACTGTAAACTATGAATCTTAACAGTTTCCAAAAATCCGTATACTGATAAAACTTGTCTATACTTGGTCATCGTAGTCTTCTCATCACCATCTATGGTTTACTCTATTATTTGCTTAGTGTTTGTGAAGTAACTTGTGATGGTTGAGATTCAAAATATTTCTTAACTTCGTATACGGCTCAACCTGATAGCCGTAACTGGATATCTCCCAGAATGCTAACACGAAGCGTTGATGACTTTCATTATCACACCACACTAACCACAAAACCACACGCATACGAAACGAAAACGAAGATGTGCGAGTACTGAAGAGCAAGTGAACGAGCAGATAGTATTAAACTTTACGTTTAAGCAAATGGGAAAATGGATGATTCATGGAATTATATAAGCGAATAACATTAAAGCGATTTAGAAAGCGATAAGCAATATTCCAGTCTAAATGCTCATACAAACGGCATGGATAAGTTATTGTTGCTTTACAAATAATACATTTTTGAAACCATGAATCGATCAATTCTAGACCGCCATTAGAAACCTAAAGCACTGGAAGACGGCCGTTTTGTCCTCGTATGGGACTCACCAGCAGTGTGCATCCAAGACTACTGCGCCCCGCAGGATTCGAACCCAGAACCTTCGGTATTGTAGGCGAACGCCTAACCATCGGACCACTGAGCAGGTATCTAACGCTGTTTATATCTGTTTAGTAAGTAAATAAATAAACGTACACAAACTCAAATTTATGTAAGTTGCAATAACCTATATGAAATTCATTTATTGTCTATTTCCACTGTATATTAAAGTTTACATATTTTTGTATTGAATTAATGTTTAGCCCCACATTCTAATGGCTACAACAGATAATTGGCCAAAACTACCAATAACTGATTTCACATCGAATATCGTTGTACCAACAGACTGTGATTCAGGCAATGGTGATAGTGTGGAAATTCAACCACATCAAATACCAAATAAAATTTGTTTTCTTGAAAGAACCTAATAAGCAGCAATGAATTGATATTTGCTATCAGTATTACTTACATGGTTTAACAACATTTATACATTGCATAAAATGCATTTACCTTTTTTCAATAAACACTTAATTTGCTCTCTGTGTGTGTGTGTCATTATTCCTATAATGGATTGCGTTGACAAAACAATGAGTTCTTAATCTGTTTTGACAAGTAAGTTAAATAAAAGAAAGATTTCAAAAGTGACGGGACAATTTTTTCTTTTAATTTCAATCAAATCAAAGCAAAAAAAACAATCATTCATTTGAAAGTTTGAGGCAATTTAATGCCACTTAATATTGTAATATGTATATTTCATTGTAATTTTAAAAAAAATATCGTACTTTAAATTATCATTCCAATACACACAGTCACTTTGATTTTTTCGACCTGTATTTTATTCTATTTGACTTATACTATTTTTTTTGTTTACAACAAAAATCAATAACATGCACTATTGTATGCATAGTTATGCAACAGTTATATTTATTTTAAAAAAGAAAACAACGTTATTTCTTCGAATTTTCCTCTGATAATTATTAAAATGTTGAACTGTACAGCAGCATATTTATTTTCAACAATATATATATATATATATATTTTATCATATAATCAATAATGTTATTTCGAAATAAATTTGTTTTGTAAAGTAATTGTTTGAATTGTTTGCTTACTTAATATCTTAGCTTGAAATCGTGAACAAATCATTGATAGACTATCATTAGAAAGCTGGAAGCACTGGACGGTTATCTCAACCTGGTATGGGACTTATTAGCACTGCGCATCCACGACTACAGTCACTCGCAGGAATCGAAACCAGTACCTTCGGTTTTGCGCGTGAACACCTAGCCTCTGGGCTGGGATCCAACGGTGTTAATGTATAACTCTAATCAATCTAGGGATTTTGCGCAACCTCACCCACTGTCTTCAGTAGTTACTGCCTACATCCGACTGGGTGGAACTCCATTGGTCACGTCTTCTCACTAGGAGTCCGAGAATTTCCTTACGAAGCTAGTCATTAAAGAGTACACTGATGACATGATCACTTTGTTGAAAGCTTAAATATCAAGAAACTTATCGATGATCAGTAATGAGTTGTTATTGATTACATTTAATTCTTAATGTTTTGTATAATTATGAGATTACTAAATAATTTCTCAGTCAACCCAGAAGGATTTTGTTACACATGCACGTCAACACGTCATTTTATATGCTTGAACTATTACGAGTTTACCTTAGTCAGTAATCGAGAGTGAGGATCGATGATTCAGCGACACGACAGGCTACTCTTATCCGAGTGTCGCAAACCCTCATCGAATAGAAAACGGAAAAGACTTGATGTGAAGTAGAACGTGTATTCTACAAACATCCAGAAAGTACGAGGTCCGAATCCAGAAGCGGATGATGCATATGAATATTTGAATTAAATATACTTATCACGCTAAAGTTTTAAAATAATATAAGACAGATCCGTTTTAACCGACATTCAGTTGGTATTTTTGATCGTGACAATACAGTTGCCGCATCACCCATTTCATTGTTTTCTAGATTTAAGTCCCTGTATATCAAACCCTTCAAATAATTTGACTTTATAAGAATCTCATATGTAAAGTAATCCAACGGAATCGGTGGTTTGTAAAAGACTACCCACTTCATTTTAATTAGCACATAAGGTCGATGGCAGTCCAGGCATATCTTCAATAAAAGGCAGTTGCAAGCGATGTCAAAATGCTGTTGTTTTAACATGAAGTGGTAAGAATGCTAATAATAAGACTAAATTTTGAGAGAAGTTTAATGAATTATTATGAAATGTATGCATCACACTGTTCGGGGTGTGGATTCCATGTTTTTAAGAATTTTAAATCGACAATACAGTTAACTTCAGTAAATTTAACTGTTGGAGCAGTTAGAGTTTCAATCTCTTTGTTGTAGGTGTTCAGGAATGAAAATGGACAGCCTTTTTTAGCATCTAGGATTCTGGGCAGATAGCTTCAACATTCTTATCAGTCAGAAGTATTCAAAATAGGGTTGATTAGTGGCTGGAAATTAAATGATGAAGAGACTTTTTGTTTTATTTCGGACCCTTCGGTTAGATTTATTTGAACCAGTGTTGATTTTCACTCCAGGAATCGAACCCAGTGTCGTTTGTTTCAAAAGCGTAACATAATTTCCACATAACAACTCAATAACTTTGATTGGATAGGCGCCACGTTTTAACTAAGAAGAATTAGGCAGATACTGAAATAACGTTTCTCTGTATGTCCTGTGAAAAATGAGCTTGCAGCCAATGACGACTGCTAAGTAACATGTCAAATTCTATCAACTATTTTTCATAGAAATCTAAACTAACATAATCAAACTAGATCAAATTTGTTTTAAAAAAAATGACAATTGGTTGGATATCTCAGGATTTTTAAAAATTCAATTGCATCTAGTTCATTGAAGACTTCTTCAAAGAGAACAACACCTTAATGGAATTGATCCTTCATAAACAATTTTTAATATTGGAGTAACAATGAAAAAATAATTTACTAATTTTACCCAATGAAAATTTGATTTATTACCTTATCCGGTTGGTCACATTCACATTGAAACTTGAAATCTATGAACATGTATGTAAACGTTGCATCATAAACTAATTGAACATTTAATTCAACAATTATTCTATCATAGATTTTTATCTCATGTTCAATTGATTATTTCTAAATAACATTTATGCTACATAATGTTCAATGTCTAAACATTTAAACATTGTGATTTATCATGAGTTAGTTTTCATCACTGAACAGAAATAAACAAAATGAAGCATAAAACGTTATCTATTGTAAAAGCAAACTAAACAAAATTTCAAACCAATAAATTGTATATTTTAGAGCGCTTTTTGTTGTTGTTTGTACAATGAGATTCATATTGAACTTTTAACGGAACTGTGATTGATGATATTGGACAAGATGGTTGATTAACCATTTATTGAAATACAAGTCTATTGAATGGAGAATTTTCTGTCAATAAATACATTTCATGTTCCATAATTATACATCCAAATTATTGATCCTAAAAGTCGTCAGATTTAAGATAAAATATATCATTTCAAATTATGGCACTTCAATTTAAGACTAGTTGCAATATCAAATAAAGATAGAGTCGTCAATGTTTAGATAATTAATATAAAGTGTTCCCTCTAAAACGTTTATGCGTCAAAAGAAATCGTGATATTACTGATTAATACTGAGTGAGAGAGATAATAATGTAATTACATATCAAGAATCACATAATCTCTAGAATAACATGAATGGGCTATGAGAAAGTGAATGTGGAGCGGATGCTGAATAAATGCCCTAACAGTTTTGCAAGCGCCACAATAATTATTAGTCATAATAATAGCGATATGTGTGAATAACGTTTAGTTGTGGAAATGTAAAGAGCAAGGTTTTATGAATATTACACAAATAATGTTATTCAAATAATTGTTAACTAATTAGTTCTCGAGCTGGCCAAGGTGAAAAAAATGAGTGAAGATATTAACCTTCTGTTTTCAAAGCTCAGCGGCTTTTTTTATTGGAATCTCCATAGCTTCAGCCAGTTCGGTGATTCAAATGAAAGTTTTTACTATTGGTAACAAGATTTCTAAAGTCAGTTCTTTCTTATTATGATTTTTTAATTAGATTTATGGAGATCAGTGTTTTTCGACACTACGGTGTGCCTGAGAAGATAGTCAACATCATACAGAATTGTTATGATGGGTTCAACTGCAAAATCGTGCACGGAGGTCAGCTGACAGACTCTTTCGAGGTGAAGACCGGTGTCAGGCAAGGTTGCTTACTCTCACCCTTTCTCTTTCTCCTGCTGATAGACTGGATTATGAAGACGTCGACACCCGGAGGGAAGCACGGTATCAGCTGGACAGTTACGACGCAGCAGAACGATCTGAACTGATCTGGCTCTTCTATCGCACACAACAACAAATGCAAGAGAAGGCGACCAGTGTAGCAGCAGCCTTTGCAACAGCAGGTCTCAACATGCACAAAGGAAAAAGCCAAATTCTGCGATGCAACACAACATGCACCAACTAAATCACTCTTGATGGAAATGCCTTGCAGGACGTTAACACCTTTATATATCTTGGCAGCACCATCGACAGTCAAGGTGGATCGGATGCAGATGTGAGGGTGCGGATCGACAAAGCAAGGGCTGCATTTCGACAATTGAAAAATAACTGGAACTACAAACAAATATCAATCAACAACAAAATCAGGATTTTCAATACAAATATCAAGATAGTTCTACTGTATGGGGCGAAAACTTGGAGAACTACGAAAGCCATCATCCAGAAGATACAAGTATTTATGAACAGTTGTCTACGCAAAATACTTCGGATTCGTTGGCCAGACACCATCAGCAACAACGAACTGTGGGAGAGAACAAACCAGATTTCAGTGGAGGAGGAAATCAGGAAATAGCGGTGGAAGTGGATAAGACACACACTACGAGAAGCACCTAAATGCGTCACGAGACAAGTCCTCATTCGGAACCCTCAAGGTCAAAGTAATTAAGTAAGATCAGTGTTTTTACACATTGAAATCAATAATCATTCATTGGTAAACCACCATTAGAAACCTGGAGGCATTGGACGACCGTTTCATCCTGATATGGGACTCATTACCAGTGCGCATCCACGGCATGATCAATTTTCAGACAATCTGGTATCACTAAGTCCATTCTAATATAAAGTCATATCTGAAATAACTTATTACTGTTAGAACCAGTTAAACATAAATTATTTTATTCAATAATATAAAACGTAGTTGACATACTCATTAAAAAATATTCTATTTTAAAAACTAAACGAAAATCATCTGTAAGTACAAGTACAACCTTAAATAGGAAATCTTCAGAAATGAACATTGAACTCATAGCAATTCAGATCCAATCAGTCAATTTGTAATATTTGATCTTCCGACATTATCCTTCACATGTTTCTCATTCTGGAAATAAATTATCACAGTACCTTGTTAGATGTCTAGAAATTCACATTCACTTTTATCTACAATAAGCACTGATTGAAATATTCTCAATGATTAGATTTATTCGTTAGCACATAACATTTGGCATTCACTTATTTCACCTTGATTTCT